ACTAAAGTCTAAATAGCCAGAAATAAGTTTAACAGCTAGAAAATACCCAAGTTTTGAAATTAAGACATCATACTTGAAACTAGAAGCAATTTAGAATTGAAAAACAATATTATTAAATATTGTCTTAGCTGTAAGCCTGTGGCCTCTACGTATACATTAGAAAGAGTGGAAAAATAGGAACTGAAGATGCAAGCTACATGTCATGAGTTTAAGTGATAACAGAAAACTATAACCTATCATATAACAAAGAGGAAAAGAGTTAATAGAAAATGTTCATCCATAAAATAGAAAATGGAAAAATTCATTAAGATAATATTTGATTATTTGATAACTAATAAAATTTGTTAACCAATTTAAAAAGCAAATCATGAGGCCGGGGAGATGGCTCAGTAGATTAAGCGCTTGCCTGGCAAGCACAAGGGCCTGAGTTCAATCCCCGGTTCCGCAAAAAAAATAAATAAATTTAAAAAAATAAAAAGCAAATCATATTTCTAAGCACACAGAAACATAAAAACCCAAAACACAATAGCCCTAAAGCAGAGAATGACGCACTTGTGCACATACCTCGGCTGCACGGTCTGGAGATGAGAAGGAAACGGAGACCCAGAAGAGGGGACGGCAGCCATGACGTCTCCAGCACTCGGCCCTGGAGCAGGTGGGCATTCCAGGCTAAGTGGCGATGGAGTGTTTAAATCACAGGCTCTGAAGATTAAGTGAATATGAACCAAGGACAGGTTTGCAATGTAAAGCTATTAACCCTGAGAGACAGAGATGTAGAACAAAAACTTGACAAGGGTGACAAATCGTCCTTAACCCCATAGCAAAGTTCATGAAAGATGAAGTGGATAAATTGAGCTTTCCTGAAGTGAAAAAGTTTGCTCTATGAAAGAACATAGTAAGTTAATCAAGACACAAGCTACCGACCCTGAGGAAGTGTTGGACTGACACATCCAGCAAAGGGTGTGTGTCACCGCTACGTTATATAAAAGAGCTCTCTCGTGTTGGAAGAAATAAAGGAGAGAGACAGGGAGGGAGCGAGGGAGGGAAGAGGACGGAAGGCCAAGCAGCTCGCTTAGAACAAGGCCAAGGACACGAGCAGACGCTGCAGTCAGGAGTGCACAGGTGGTGAATACATTCATCACAAGATGGCCAAGAAAACTAGTAATCAGCTAAATGCAAGCTGAAGCCACAGTGAGGTGCCACTACACGGGTGTCAGAGCAGTTAAAGACATAACAACGCTGGGTGTTCACCGAGGACAGCGAAACTGCCCTCCTGCTACTCAGTTGGTGGACATGGAATGGGTAAGCCCAGCCTGGGGGTGACCTGGCAGCTGGTGGAAGTGGAATCATGACCTCCAGGTGGAATGGTGACCACGTGACCTAGCCGTGGCACGTACTTGTGTGGGAGGACTGGAGATTTATGTTCTAGGGAAGCCTGCGCCACATATTCAAAGCAGCTGTCTGCGTCCCCTACCAAGTGTGGGGTCAGCCCAAGCACCCTAGAGCAGGGAACAAGAAAAAGGGTGGGGATGCCTGCAGCATGGAACCACCCCGGGAGCATGCAGGACGTGCCTGGGCACAGACGGATGCCCGACACTGGGCTGGTCCCGGATGTGCTCCAGCGAGCTCAGTCCATGCAAGGTGGACGTGCTGCCATTCCACTGATGTAGCATGTTGAGTGTGAGCCGTGGAGCCAGAGCCGTACAGTGGGCAGGCTGAGGAGGAGCAGCGGCGGCCTGGCGGAGCTCGGGGTGCGACCCTGCAGGTCTCACGGGGACGAGACCGCCCTGTCCGAGCACACGGAGGATGCACAGCCCTGCACGTGGCATGGCTTTTGCAAAGCTACACACACACGCACACACAAAGAAGATGGGAAACTCAAGTAAGAGACACCACGCTGGGGCTGGGGAGATAGCTCAGGGGAGTAAGTGCTTGCCTGACAAGCACAAGGTCCTGAGTTCGATCCCTGGAACCACAAAACAAAACAAAAAACCCACAAGCTTAAAGAGCCATAGGTTGGGTTGGTGCCACCTGCCTGGGCCTCACGGCCCACCTCGGCTTTGCCACCTGTTAATGTTGTGGGAAGCCTGCTGAATCCCTGTGGTCTCTTCGTACTGCTCGGACTACTTCCCATGTATCTACAGCTTCCTGGTTGAAAATTTTAAAGCTACAGAAATATCTGTCATCCTCTTCTTGTAAGGTCCTAGAAATTCATGGATGTGAAGTACTGTACAGCCACAAAAACTAGCAGGAAGAAGTGTCACCCGTGTCTGCTGAGCAGCGTGCTACGCATAGCATGGTGAATCTGCAGATGGCTGTAGGGAAGCGCGCACAGCTGGGCCTGGCTGTGCCACAGTGGAAGGGAAGAGGTGTGGGCCCGAGGTGGGGTCTGCATGGGCCGGCTGTGGCCACGCCTGGTGAAATGACTGTGCTAAGAGCCACGCTTCCCGTTTCATTAGGGAGGTTTATTCGGATTGAGCTCATTTCTTTCTTGCTCTTTTTCTGTTTGAACCTTCTTTTCTGTCAACATGTGAGTTCGGTCAGTAGATTTAGGGTTGCTTTTCACTGGCGGCGGGCAGCACCTGGGACTGCCTTGTTGATGCACAACCGCGCCCCACCGCCCTCCACTTGCTTGGACGTGGACATTGCTAAGCAGCCCAGTGTCCGTAAGGGCTCACACCCCTTCTGGCCACGCGCTCTGTTCCTTTCCACACTCTCTTCGTGTCTGATGACCTAGAATGCGCTCTTCAAAAGATTCTGTGAGGAAGGCACATGACAGTCCCCGACTCCTGGCCCACGCTTTTGTCGAGGGACGGTCCATTTCTCACCTGGGCCTGGTCTCACATCAATCTCCTGATGCATGAAGCACCAGTGCCGCGGGGCTTATCTCACCGTGGTGTCCTGTGGGACTGTCGCTGCTCTTGCAGGCCTGTCCCGGTTGCGTCAGTGCCAGCCCAGCACTAGGAGAAGCCCCTCAGCTTCAGGCCAGTGAGGTGGCCAGTCACACTAAGATGACTTTTAAAGTAAAGCAGAAGTCTGCAGAGGTGTGATGACGACTGTGAGGCGCCCATGATCAGTGGCTCCAGTGCGGGGCGCAGTCACGGAAGAGGGTCTGTGGGGCCGCCTTCGCTAACAGCCTGCGCATTTCTTCCCCTGCAGACTCACGGGCTCCCGTGTCCCCGACCTCATCGTGAGCATGAGCAGCCAGATGTGGCTGCACCTGCAGTCCGACGACAGCATCGGCTCGCCGGGATTTAAGGCCGTTTACCAAGGTAGGGCGGAAGCCACGGGGCACAGGGAAGTGAGAGGACAGTGCGGGCCAGGCGTCTGCGAGACGAGCCAAAGAAAAGAACAGTGGGACAAGGCTTGTCAGCAAGGGCAAACTGTCGCAAGTTCTAGAAAGTCCTAAATACTTGGGATCCTTTTCATGCATGAACTTGACTGGGAAAACGTGTCTTTCTTTGTGTGACCCTGGTGCAGCAAAATAAAAAAGGACACACAGTGTGCAAGGTAGGTGATGGAACAGGGCCACGTCACAGGTGTCTCCCAGTGTCACGTTGGTCAGCGGTTTAAATAATTTATGGCCTCATTCGTACGAAAAGTGAAAAACAGCAATAGGATACACGTGAGATCACTTACATTTCTAAGCTCTGTGAGCCCATCCATGCACCTGAAGTGAACGATCTAGACTTTCTTTGTGAACTATTTGAGAACTCGGAAAGTTGTGGAAACCTGAAAGCAGTGCAAATGGTTGTCCACCACCAGATGCAAGTGGAACGTGATTTCTTGTGGAAGAGATGCACTGGCTCACTGCCTGGCGGGTGCTGGCGCCTTGGGCCCTGGGATGTGCACCTCAGCGTTGGCCGTCTTGCTTGGGCACACTTGCTTGGGATTCTCTTCCAAGCAGTTTTCCAAGTGTGTTCCTAGAGCTGCAATTCTTGACTGAGTTTTATAGAATTTTTGATATGATGAACTTTGGGTACATATGGGGAATGAGTCCCTCTATTTTTGAGATTTTGAATTTTATTTTACACAATTTTACTTTGTGAATTTGTGTAGATGGATGGTCTGTATTTTCCAGCTGCACACTGAAAGAGCATTTTCAGTTGCAAGAGAAGGTAGCACAAAGTTACTGCACATGAGGTCAGTGAGGCAGAAAACAACACAACTCTGGAACTAGAGCCCTGGGGTGGTTGCCAGGGGCCCATGGGTGGCCTCATCACGGTGTCCCTGCACTCTGCCCCAGGGGCAGAAGCAACCTGATCACAGCCTGACTTGAGCATGCTTAGATACCTCTAAAGTGGGAAACAGGTTTGCTTTCGTTAAAAGAACAGGGGGAGACTGGGAACTTAATGAGGCTTAAAAAAAAAAAAAAGTTACAGCAAAATAGTCCTGCCCAGATCCCACTAAAACGTGAGGACTAGAAGATATACGTAATTGCTGGGTTCCTCCTGACATTTAGGCTTAGGCATAACTTTTAATTGAGCTCATACATGACTGTGCAGTCATTCAGGAATGTGCAGAATACTTCCCACACGACCGCCGCTTGCTGCTGCCTTTGTAGAACCAAAAAGTGCCAGTGAGAAAACAAACACTTCCAAATGAGACAAATTTCAACAGGCATGAAGATGCATACCCCAAGGTGTGCAGTTCAGAAGGTGAAAAGCGACACAGTTTCCGGACCATGGGTGCTAACTAAGCCTGCTCAGGTACAGTGGAGATGCTCCTGGGTGGCTGTGGCTTAGCCTGATGGCCAGACCACACTGGTTACCAGGACATTCCACGGCAAGTAGTCGTGTGTTCACCATGGTGATGTCTTAATTGCTACAAGTCCAGATGTCGCAGATACACTTCCTGAGATACTGCTGAGACAATGCTATGCGTTTGCTTTTTTCAGCGAAACAAGTGAGCTAGTATAACTTCGAAGTTTAAAACAATGAAAGAATTTTCCCAAAGAAGGCATCCTGGAAATTATTTCAAGTGCTGTATTAAACTAACATTGGCGAGAAGACATAAATGATCACATAAGAGGAGTCGTTCGTGAATTATATTATCATAAAACATATGCAGCTGATATTTGCAAGCAGTTTAATTTTCTAGCTTCGGTAGTGAGTGGTAAGGACAGAAACAGGCGCACTCAGCCAGACCCGGGGAGAGAACCCAGGGCTCCCCTAGTCTTTGCAGCTCCCTGCAGCTGCAGCCCTGATGGAGCTGGCCCTGACCTGAGCTCTGTCCAGCCTGTGGCGAGTCCCTGGCGTCCGCGGGGCTGCTCTTGCTATATTCTGGGTCCTGAATCGGTTGCCTTTGATGTTCTTTGTTGTCACAGTAATAACACTGAGCGCAAGCTCATCCCGGTCGCGTTGGTGTCATCTGCCGCAGCTGTGTACGCTTTGGGGGGGGGTAAATGAATGGAAGTGCTCCCCATGATGTGCTGTTGTGGGAAGGATGAGACCTACCGTGGCTCACACTGGAGTTATTTTGGTGGAATTGAGTTCGCTGTGACAAGTTCAAGCGGAAGAGACTGAATTGGCCGAGTCCAGAAAGTGTGCGGAGGCAGGGCGTGAGTGGCGTCCGCACGGGCGCCGCGGTCCGGAGCCCGGGTCTCTGTTGCCCATGGGACGCATGGAGCTGATGCCACCCCGAGAGGAGAGGACGAGAGTCCCCTCCTGGCAGGTCCTCCCTTTCTCACCAGCGTGCGTGGTCCGGGGCTCCTCCGCTGACGCTGGATTCGCAGCCCTGCGTTGGCCTGGCCTGTGCAGGCGGACGGACTCGGGGTGCTGCGCCACTGCCGGTGCTGTCCACGAGGAAGTGAGCTCACAGCCCCACCCGAAGGGCCGGTGAGAAAGAGCAGAAGGTGAATTCACCGAACAAAACGGAAACAACAGCCGCGCCCTAGAGTGGCTCCGAGCAGGAGGTGGCCAGCCCGTGTAGACGCGATCCTGCCTCGTGCCAGTCTGGGTGGTCCCTGCCCTGGGAACACCACTGACAGTGACCTTTAGGTTTTCTTTTCGAGTTCCATTTTGTTCCTCAGAGACAGAGCCTCCCCTTACTAAGAACGCGGTGAGCCGCGTCTCAGTACCGTAAGCCATCACTGAGCACTGAGATGATTCGCCCGCTGAGCTCGAGGCTGGAGCCCGACTCTTGGCTGCAGGGACCGCCGCCCCTGCGCTCCTCGGGCTTTCCACTCATTCTTCTTAACTTTCACCCTCATGGATTTTCAGCCACAGAGAAAACTGAGGTGCGAGGGGTGGGCAGAGCTCCACTCTGTGGGCCTGGGGCCCCGATGCTCTCCCACTGCAGCACTGGAGGGGTACAAGACCTCGGCATGGGGTGCTTCCTACCGCCCGTGAGCCTGGAAGCAGAAGTGCGCGCCCCCAGATTCTACCGGGCAGAGGAGGTGACCCCCTGCGGCTCCCTGGCCTCGTGGGCCTCCGTCTTCCCGGCACTCGACAGTGAGTGTGATTGCGCCCCCGCTCCACGTCTGCACACACACAGCTCTGGGCAGGCGGTGGCAGGGCACTTGTCCTTAACAGAGTTTGGTCTTTATTCTTGAGTGGCATTCAAATCTGTGCTCTTTTCATTTCATACATTTAAGTTCATTGTGATTGTTAGACTCTTCTGAGTTGTTCTGGTTTACAGTGGATCTGGCTTCCCTCACTGGTGCAGGAGCGGTCCCTGGAAGGGCTCTCTTCCTAAGTGCAGCCTGTGTGCTGAGCCCTGCAGGGCCGCTCCCTGCGCTCCACTGGCAGTGCCCTCTGGCGCAGGTGGGTCTTTGTGACTCCTGGAACTGCCTTTATCTAGAGATCTGTCTCCAACTGGTAGGAAGCAGCGCTCCATTTTGTCATTTTTCCAATGGGAACTAGCAGTGACTAGGAAGAAGGCGTCAGTAACCCCAGGCAAGGAAGAGCAACACACCCCAGCAGAGAGCAGGCCCAGCGGGAGGGCCCCAGGCACTGGCTGGGCTGGGACGCCCTGCGGCTAAGGCACCCCCTGCCTGCTGGCCACGCGTGCATGGGCTCCAGGGGCCCTTGTGATGGGAGCTGGAGGTGAGCGGTGTGCAGACCCTCCTCCAGCAACTTCTCCCGCTCTGGGAAAGGCTGCCTCCTAGGAGGTCAACCCTACAATGCTCACAGCAGGAGTGACATCCGTGGGGGACATTCCAGGGCAGTGGTGCAGACAAGGGGGAGCAGTGTGCAGACAAGGGGGAGGAGCGTGCAGCCTTCAGCATGGATGGAAACAGCAAGGACTGGGTCCTGAGGCGGGCGGGCAGCACAAGGGCAGGCCCCTGCAGGCAACCAGCTCTTCCTCTCCTCTCTGCTCTTTGGCCATGGACTCGCCCTCAGGCAGGGTCCTGCCTATGACAGATGAGAAGTGCCGGGTCCTCTGAGAGCTGCTTGCTCTGGCCACTCATGGCCTCAGAGGGCTGGGCACACAAGGGCCTTTGGCACATTCTGTCTCCATAGGGAGGACCAGGTGGCCTTCGAGGTCCCCACGTGTGGGCAGAGCAGCTTGTGGGGGCAGGAGACAGCGGATCTGAGCACATCTCACACGGGAGCCAGGGCCCCTCCAGCCAGAGCCTGCACCTAGCCCCAGGCCTCCCTGTCCCCGCAGAGCTCAGCTCCTGGGCTGCAGGCCTGAACCCCCGACTCTAGTGCCTCTAACACCTTCCCTGCACAGGACTCACCAGATGCACTGCCTGTGCCTGGTCCTCAAAATCCACCTCCAGACAGGGTCTCTGCGGTGAGCCCTGAGCCTTGCTCACTTTCATTTCTTCCATGTTCAGCCTATTTTCCTTCTCTGGCCCATAGCTGTTCACCCTCAGCGCTAGGTTGCTGCCTTTACTCCACTCAGGTAGTTGGTACTCTTGAAGCCACCTCAGGAGCACACGGGGCGGCGCCTGCACATGGCCTTGCGGTGGTGAGCGGGCTGCGCGGAGCCCTGGAGCGCCCGTCCTTCCCGGGGAGACTGTCTTCCTTTCGGCAGTGCGTGTGCTTCCTTGGTCCGTCTACTGCTCTTCTGATGTTCGGCTAATCCTCTCATAACGAGGCGCTCAGAGGACAACTGCTGGTGCCGGGCCTGCCCTAACTGTGAGGAGATTTCCACCTTCCTGAAAAGGAAGTCATCTTGGCTAGCTTCTTTCTCTTTGCATCTCCGACTCCTCTGCTGGCAAGTCATTACGTGGGCACAGATGGCATGCTAACGATGTCCTGTCTTCCCCCAGCTCAATTAGTGCTAGAATTTTTCCACATGTTCTTGAAGTTAAAGAAAATTT